AGATGTAAATTCCTTAATAAAATATTGGAAGGCCATATACAAAGACACATAAAAAAGATAGCGCAAGATGACCAAGTGGGTCTCATCCCAAGGATGAAAGGTTGGTTCAGCATATGGAAATCAATAAATGTCATCCATCACATTATTAGCATCGAAGTCAAGAATCATAATTATTTCAATAGATGTAAAAAAAGCATTTGACAAAAAAATAGCACCCGTTCATGTCTACAGCACTAGAATAACTAGGGATACAAAGAACTTACCTCAACATTGTAAAGGTTATATATGACAAACTCAAAGCTACCATTATTGGAGAATGGAGAAAATCTGAAAGCATTTCCTTTAAAAACAGGAGCAAGACAAGGATGCCTGCTTCAAAACAGTTCTTGAAACTCAAGCTAGAGCAATCAGGCAGGAAAAGGAAATTAAAAGGATATGAATAGTAAAAGAAGACCTCAAACTATCTCTGCTTGCTGACAACATAATTGTATATTTAGAAGACCCAAAATACTTCACCAGAAGACTTCCAGAGCTCATAAATGAATTCATTAAAGTAGCAGAATACAAGATCAACACTCATAAATCAATTGCATTCCTATACTTCAATTATGAACCTGCTGAAAAAGAAATTAGGGAAACTGTCTCATTCATAATTGACTTAAAACACAAAAATAAAATACTTGGGAATCAATCTAACAAAAGATGTGAAGTACCACTACTGTGAAAACTGTAGAACACTGAAGGAAGAAATTGAAGAAGACTTTAGGCAATAGACCTCCCATGTTCTTGGATGAGCAGAATTAATATTGTCAAAATGACCATACTAACAAAAGCACTATACAGATTCAATGCAGTTCCCACCAAAATTCCAATGACATTCTTCACAGAAATAGAAAAAATAGTCATTTGGAGAAGTAAGAGACTCGGAATAGCCAAAATAATTCCTAGAAAAGTGAAGCAGGAGGCACCATAATACCTGACCTCAAATTATACTTCTGAGCTATAGTAGCAAAAATAGCATGGTGCTAGCACCAAAACAGTTATGACGACCAGTGGAATAGAATAAAAGACACAGGCAAATCCGTATGAGAACAGTTATCTGGTACTGGACAAATATGCCAAACATATATGTTAGAGAAAAGATAGACTTTTAAATACATGGTGCTGGAAAAACTGAAAATCCATATGTAGAACAATGAAATTTAACCCCTATATCTCACCCTGCACAAAACTCAACTGAAACTGGATCAAAGACCTAGGAATTAGGTGAAAAAACCTACAACAGCTAGAAGAAAATGTGGGCCCCTTATTCCCAACATGTTTGCGAAAGAATTGACTTCCTTAACAAGACTCCTAAAGCACAAGATATAAAAAAATCAGTAAGTGAGATAACATCAAAAGCTTCTGCACAACAGAGGAAACAATTATGAGCATTGAAAGAGAGAGCCTACAAAATGGAAGTAGGTCTCTATCACCTGCTCCTCAGAGCATTAATATCCAGAATATACAAAGAACTCAAAAAACTTAGTACCAAAGAATGAACAGGCAAAATCAATCAATGAATAGGCAAAAGAACTAAGCAGACACTTCTCAAAAGAAGAAATACAGATGGTCAGCAAATACATGAAAAAATGTTCAATATCTCTCCCAATGAGGGGAATGCAAATTAAAACTGCATTGAGATTTCATCTCATTCCTGTCAGAATGGCAGTTATCAAGAATACAAATAGCAACAAATGTTAGTAATATGGGGGGAAATGTGTACTAATACATTGTTGGTAAGACTGCAAATTAGTGCTACCACTCGAAATTCCTCAAAAAACTAAGAATGTAAACATCTTATGACCTGGTTATCCCACTCCTCAGTATATATCCAAAAGATTTAATTAATTACAATGATGCAACCACATTAATGTTTATAGTAGCATGATTCACAATAGCCAAGCTATGGAACCAACCTAGCTGCCCTTCAACAGATGAATGGATAAAGAAAATGTGGTATATATACACCATAGAATATTACTCATCCATAAAGAAAAATGATATTATGCCGTTTTCTGGTAAATGGATGGAACTGGATACTCTCATGCTAAGTGAAATAAGCTAGTCCCCAAAAGTCAAAGGTCAAATGTTTTCTCTGATATGTGGAAGCTGATCCAAAATAAAGAGGGCAGTAAACAAAATAGAAGAAAGATCAGTGAAGTATATGAAAGGGATTAAAGGGGAGGGAGGAAGATGAGATAAGGAAATACAGTGGAATGAGCCTAACCTAAATTTCCTATGTCTATATGAATATACTACAATGACTCTTACCATTATGTATATCCACGAGACACTAAAAAAAAAAAAAAAAAATCTAAATAGCAGAAAGGTCAGTAGAGTACAGTGATGGGAACAGTGAAGGGAGGAGAAGAGGGAAATGGGAAGTACGGGGGATTGAATTAGAACAAATTATATTCCATGCTTTTTTAAATTTTGTCAGAATGAATTCTAATGAATAACTGAAAAGAAACATAAAATATTGGCATAAGGGTTGAAAAGCAAGCTGAGGAAATCTATTAGAAGATTAAGCAAAAGATAAGGAAGATAGGAGGGAATTTTTTTAAATTAGAAGATCAATTCAGGAAGACTAAATCTGACCAGTAAGAGTTATAGAAGGATAACACAGGGAATATAATCATTAGCATTTCCAAGAACTGAAAGATGAGGATCTCCAGTATGAAATACCTAGTACTTGATGCCATGGATGAAAGAAAATCCCTATCAAAGCACTTAAAAGAGAAACTGGAAACCTTTTATAGATGAATAGCAGGCTATATACAAAGTATCAGGAATCAGAGTGGCATCTGACTTCTCAGCAGCACAACTGGAAGCCAGAAGATTTTGAAGTAATGCCTTTAAAAATCTGAATGACTTTAATTCTCAAATTCTATATGTAACCACAGTCAATCAAATGCAAAGGTAGAGGAGACATTTTCAGATGTGTGTGATTTAAAATATTTTCTTCCATGCCAGCACCTCTTAGAAGTGCTTCATATAAGGTCATAAGCAAAACTGAAAATATGGAACCAAGCAACAGGATTCCAACCAAAGAGAAGGGGAATTTTCAGAAATGACAGTGAAGAGAATTTGCAGGATAAAGGCCACAACAGATCTGGAGCACAATGATCCCAGACTAGAGCCGGAAGCCGAAGATCCCAGGAAGGATGCCTGTAAGAGAAACGCAACAGAATAGATGATCCCAGAGACTGAACCACACGTGAAATTACACTGACAAGGGTCTTTTCAGAGACGTTAAAGGCTATAGGAAGAGGTAAATGATTAAAGAATATTGTAAAAGTGAAAAAGCAGTTTAAATAGAAACAGTATGGAGAAAAATTAACAGTAAGGAAAGGTATGTAAGGAAACAACATGGCTGACCAGTGAATAATATTTACCTAATTACAATAATGCAAATCTGTAATATGTATTTTACCAAAAATTATATATAATTATATTATATTGGAAGGAAGAAAAAAATAATATACATGCACTAAAATCCTGATTTATCATATAAAATCAATAGATATCTGAAACTAATGAATTAAAAATAACAATATACACCTGTTCTTATAAATAAGGAGATAAGTACCAGATAAAAAGGTGAAAATTAAACTAGTACCATTTTTTAAAAAGGGGAAGAAGTATGGTTTTACCAATTAGAATAACAATAAAACATGAAAATGTTAATAGAAATGTTTAATTATCTAGAAAATAATAACAATGTGAATAATATGGGGTTTTTGTATGTTTAACAAATGCCAGACAAGCATAATTACTCTCCTATACAGTACTAAACAAGAAAAGGAAGTTTGGAGAATAAATCTAGTTTATCCTGATTTTAGCAGAGCACTTGATACTATAAATTTACTTGAAAACAAATATAAGTTGTTTTGAATATTTATGGTATTTAGTTGATTAAAAGCTGAATAAAGTACTGTACCACGGAAAGCCCAGATACAAGTTTGTATTTGTAAGACTGGAAGACGCTGCACCACAGGACACAGATCACCAAAGAGGTTTCCGCTTTATTACAAAAGGCTGTGTGTTTATATAGGTCTAAGGAGAGGTAGCAGGGCTGAGGTAGATAACAGGTCGCCTGTTTATTGGCAAGCTCTTCCATATGTCAGTTCCGGAGCCCAAGAAGTTAATTCTAATTTGGGCCAAGGCTTCCCACCAGCAGGGTTTGAACATTGGCGCCAGCGGAACGTTTCGTGCCAGTGAAAGAAACAAAGAGGAGAAAGAGGGTCGTTAGACACCATGCTGGGGTTTTTCTCTGGGGTGCTGCTGCCATTATATGTTTTCCCAACAGTATTGGTAATTTTAGACAATGGTTTTAGAATATAAAATTGGTAAGTGCTACATCTGCTATCAGTGATTGCATGTGTTTCAGGAAAGTTTTGAATGTAATAGTTCTTTACTCAGAAGGATTTCTTACTTTATTGGTAAGTCTATAACCTAAAAAAGCAAAATCAAGAGGAGGTTTTGAAAAAGTTTTTGTAAACAAGAGCAGCACTTATATTGGTCAAAGGCATCAAAGTAAAAATGTTTTTTAGCCAGGAAAAATTAGGGGAGAGAAAAATATTACTAAAAGCTCTACATTTGGAGAGAGATTATATCTTTTATACATATATTAGTATACACATTCAGAGAATATTCTTTTACAATTAAATATATTAATTTTCCTTAGGCTTATATTTTTACTCTTCATGTTTATTTCACATAGAAATATTAAATGTTATATAGTAATATATGTAATAAATGATTTATGGTTGTCCCACTCCTCAATTTTAGACTTTTTTGTTACTCTAGGTTTCTGATAATGTCTTTTTCTTTTTTAGATATTTGAATGAAACATAGATTCTTGTCACATGATTTTTATTTAAGCTGATGTTTAGGTGATCTTTCAGTATGCAGCAAAGTCTGAGATGTGTGTTAATTCTAAATGTATTATTTTTCAGAAAGAATGCTTTGCAGAACTTGGCTTAAATACAGGGCAGCTGGGTATAGATGATTCTACACAAGTGCCTCCTGGTTAGTATTTCTCTCATATGACATATAATTAATGATACGTGATAAATGAGAGTGAGTTTAAAGTTTATCTTGTTTTTCTCAAAGGTGTGTCATAAACTATCTGAAAACAAAGCATGCTTTGTCTCTCCTTTGTTATTGTTAATTATTGAATAGGATCCTGTATGTTATAATTATCAGAGTTCAACAAGATTTAGTCTTTTTATTTGAAGTTCTTTAAAATAATTCTGAAAATTTATTAGACATGTAAGTTGCTACATGGGCAAAATCTTCCTCAGCAGCACTCAATTTCCCTCACTGGCCATCATTATCTATTTTTGTTTTCATATCACCAAGTTAAGTGAACACTAGCGTCTTCCTCAAGTAGACTTAGGGTTTCAAAATCATGTCTTTTAAACTTTAATCATCTAGATAATTTCTGTATTCATGGATACAAGTACATTTCATGAAAAAAATAGAGTGGCATTTAGCAATAATAGGATTGAAGTAGGGCTGGGATTGTGGCTCAGCGGTAGAGCGCTCACATAGCACGTGCGAGGCCCTGGGTTCTATCCTCAGCACCACATAAAAATAAATAAATAAACAAACAACAAACAAACAAATAAATAAATAAAGGTATTATGTGCAACTAATGAATATATATTAAAAAAAAGATTGAAATAAAAATTGACTTAAAGTATGGAGGCCTATGATGTGGAAATAATACAGGGCTGTGTTAGGGGGCTTACTGTCCTTTCTTTCGTTGGTGGATAGCTACATGCCTCAGACAAGTTGCTAGTATCTTTTAACTTGTTTCTTCTCCTTTTAAATAAAGAAGTTGGCTATTGATTATTACTATTATGATAGTAATATAATAATAATAAATGGCTATTTTAGCACATCCTGTTTCATGTATATTATCTCATTTTAACCACCTAGCTACTTTTAAGATATGTGTTACCATTTTTTAAAACTTCAGTAATGGATAATGAAGCATATATGTCATAAGAGGGGACAGTTCAATTAATTTGTACAAATTAAACACAATAAACAGAAGCTCCCCTCCCAACCTCTTTCTTTTTTTTTTTTTTTTTTTTTTTTTTTGACATTTTTTTTAATATTTATTTTTTAGTTTTTGGCGGACACAACATCTTTGTTTGTATGTGGTGCTGAGGATCGAACCCGGGCCGCATGCACGCCAGGCGAGCGCGCTACCGCTTGAGCCACATCCCCAGCCCCCCTCCCAACCTCTTTCAATCTTTATCTTTTGTGTGTGTGTGTGTGTTACTGGGGATCGAACCCAGGTCAATCTTTATCTTTTATTTCAATAACTACTATTCTGATTTCTAGCAGACATTCTTAAATTTTGCCATTCTTGGATTTTATATGTATGAAGAACATGATGTTTCTCTTTGATGTCTCTTTTTTTAATGTTTTATTTGTGAGATTCAGCCTTACTGGTATTCATTTCTTGTATGTATTTGTAGGTCACTTTCCTGCTTTATAGTATTTCACTGTATCTTTATATCACTTTTTTCCCCATCTATTGCTGATAAGTATTTGGGAAGTTTTAAGTTTGAGGCAATTGTAAATAAGGCTACTCTAAATATTCTAGCATGTATCTTTTGGTGAACATACCATTCTCTTCAGTTGAGCATGTACCTGGGAATGCAGTTTTTGTGTCCTAAGGTTTATGTATGTTTAGCTTTAGTAGATAGCTGCTAGGGAGTTCTCAAAGAAGATGATACTAGTTTATACTTCCACCAACAGTGCAAGAGAGTCACAGTTGCTACATCCTTCCTGATGTATCCCCTTAGTATATCCCATCTTCTTTGTTCTAGTCATTCTGGTGATGTATGGTGATATTCATTTCTTGTATGATGTGAGATAGTTGAAGAAGTAGAGATGTTAAGTAACTTGCTCAAGGTCATAAAACTAGTAAGTTGTGGATTCAGGATTCAAAACTAAGCAGGTTGTCTCCAAAGTGTAGTATACTATGCTACCTCCCTCCTGCCACCTTTGCAAGTTTTTTTTTTTTTTTGTAAGAATAAAATATACTTTTGTCCATGGCCAATGATAGCCAGGTATAAGAAAAGGAAAGAAAATAGTAACATGACCTGAAATTATATTTGTTTTTCACTTTTGAAGTAATCTTTAAGAATTACTTAAAATTATTCTAAATGTTATAGTAACACAATACTTAGAAAATAGATTTTGCTTCTTTGATTCACTTGTAATACAACAAATACCTATAGAGACCTTGCTGTGGGCCAGAAATTGGTGAGTAGATAGATATGAGACAATCTCTGCTCTTAGGGAAGATAAGGTGATAAATGACATAGAAGGTCACTGTGGTATTTGCTGTTGTTATGTAGAAGGGGCAGTTGAAGCAGGGCTCTACTTACTAAGTCATACAAAGTTATGACCTTTCATACACAGTTAATTCATTTGAGAAGGTTATTTACTGTCCTGGGATCTTCCAAATTCAGTTATTAGCTCTTTCTTCCTCAGAAGGTAGTGAAAAGGAGGAGAAAAGGAAGTTGAGCAACTGATCTTTCTCTGGGGTGGGGAAAGATAAAAAATTCTCACCTTCAGCGGGCTGGGGTTGTGGCTCAGTGGTAGAGCATTTGCCTAGCATGTGGGAGGCACTGGCTTCAATTCTCAGCACCACATATAAATAAATGAATAAAATAAAGGTCCCACAACAACTAAAAAAATTATTTTAAAAAAAGTTCTCCCCTCATAGTTTCATAATCTTATTCTTTGTTTTGCTATAATTTTAAAATAACTTTTATAGATGTATAATGTACTTGCTTTAAAGAACACAGATCATTAAATATGTCAGTGAATTTTTACAAAGTGAAAACATTTATGTAACTTCCAACCTGATCAAGAAAAGAATGTTACCAGCATGCTAGAAAACCCCTTAGCTACACTTCTGGACTCTACTCCCCTAAGGGTAACAACTATTGTGACTTCTAGCATCATAGGTTGGTTTTGTCTGTTTTTGTACTTTATAAAAATGGAATCATACAGTATGTACTTTTTGTGTCTTTTTGTTTAATGTTGTTTGTAAGATTCATAATGTTGTATAGAATTTTATAAACCACTAATTTTCTTTTTTTATTGATTTTTTTTAAAAAAATAAATGACAGTGAAATGCATTACAATTCTTATTACACATATACAGCACAACTTTTCATATCTCTGGTTGTATATAAAGTATGTTGACACCAATTCATGTCTTCATACATGTACTTTGGATAATGATGTTCATCACATTCTACCATCCTTGCTAATCCCCTACCCTCTCCCTTTCCCTCCCTCCCCTCTTCCCTATCTAGAATTCATCTATTCCTCCCATGCTCCTCCTCCCTCCCCCACTATGAGTCAGCCTCCTTATTTCAGAGAAAACATTCGGCATTTGTTTTTTTGGGATTAGCTAACTTCACTTAGCATTATCTTCTCCAATGCCATCCATTTACTTGCAAATGCCATGATTTTATTCTCTTTTATTTCTAAGTAAAATTCCATTGTGTATAAATGCCACATTATTTTTATCCATTCATTCACTGAAGGGCATCTAGGTTGGCTCCACAGTTTCGATATTGTGAATTGTGCTGCTATAAACATTGATGATAAACCACTCATTTTGATAGCTGTATTGTAATCCACTGTGTGTATCACTATTTATCTTGTTTATTGTTGATAATCATTTAAGTTGTTTCCACTATTTAGTTTTTATCAATAGTGTTACTATGAATATTCTTGTACTGTCTCTTTGTTTACATATCTGAGAGATAATTGGTAATTATCATATGATGTACATAAGTTCTGTATTAGTACATACTGCCAGTTTTCCAAAATGATTGTACCAATTTATACTCCCATCAGCTTTGTATGAGAAGTTCAATTTGCTCCATATTTCTTTTGCATTGAGAATTATCAGTCATTTACATTTGTGATTGTGTGTTTCACAATAGTTATAATTATATTTCTTTGGTAACTAATGTGGTCAAGAGGTTTTTCACATGTTTATTAGACAGTTATTTATTAGACTCATGTCATTTTCTATCACAAGTTCTTTATGTATTCTGGATGTTAGTCTTTTGCTATATATATATATATATATATATATATATATATATATATATATATATATATTATTCCTTTGAGACTTAATCTTTCACTCTCTTAATGGTGATTTTTGGTGAACAGAAGATGTTTTAGTTTAATATAGTCTAGTTTATGAGTCTTTTTCCAATATGATTGATACTTAAAAAAATAGTCTTTCCTGTAAAATCTTTTTAAATGGCTTTTGTATAGTGGGATTTTACCTGTATAAGATATACTATTGTTATATATACTTTACCAGTAGATTTAAGAAGAAGTGTGACTATATAAAGGAAGTTAACAACAAATTTTAGTTTTGGGATTGTTTTAGGAAAAAAAATCAAAGATGGATATGAGAATAATACTCTGTTTTAACAAAGGGAAAATTAATTCACTGCTTTTTCTTCTGATTAAATATATGAACTTACTTTTAAACAACTTAGAAAAAGTTTTTTCTGTGATTAGAATAAATATTATTGTTATTTTCTAAGAAGCCATTCAATTTTAAAATAATTGAAATGTAACTACCAGAAGCTCTTATTCTAAATGTGGTTTATCACATTTGTGTCTAATAATTTTATTTTCTTTTAACATTATTAGAACTTTTTGAAAATGAACATGTACGTATTGGGCAAAAAGGTAAGCTTTTAGCAAGTTATGACAATTTCTGAAAAATGGGACAGTTTAAGTAAATGTCTCCATAAAATACCTCCAACTGAAATTTAATCTCTGAAAAGCTAAAAACCTAAGTAGGAGTAATATTAAACAATGCAGATAATCTGATAGTGATCTTTATTTGTATCTTTATGTTGAAGGAAATGCATCATTTTAGTCTCATCAATAAATGTCAGATAAAGATGTGCACAGTTGGCTCATTGAAGACATACAGACACACATTCTTCAGTGACAGTACATTAAAACTAGCAGCAATAGAATTTCATTTTATAATCAAAGGGGCAGGTTTTTTCTTTGATGCCCCCACACACCTCTCATTAGTGTTAATGAGAATGTGCTCCTGTATGTTCCTGCTGGCTGTCACAATGGTTAAGAACTTAATAACTGAAGCAGCTTTTTTGCATCCTGGAGAATAATTTCCCCCTTTCTTTTGATGATTCTTTTCCTTGTGTTTATAAATCCCATTGTGTCTTTGAACTCTGAAGTACAGATACGTCTTTGTGTCGAAGTGTACCTTCTATAACAATTATCTACCAAATTCCTTAGTTCAGTTTTTCAAAATTATATTTAAATGACTTCATTTGTGTGATTTGACACTTTCATTAAACACAATTGAAAATTAAAGAATGTTTCATCTCTTTATTTTATATGATCCCTTTATTCTAGTCATGCCATTTTTGTTTAGTAAAAGATTTTTTTCCTCTTTGAAGAGAAATATAATAAAATAGTACTGTTAGACATCAACTATTGTCTAATGTGTCTTATTTTTTGGTCCTTTATTCAGCGAATAACCCATATTTTCATTAAAGAAAATAAACATGAAAGTTTATGACAAGTTGCTAAACTTGCCTGCTTAAGAATAATTTTGGCTGTCTTAAAATTTCGTCAGATCTTTGTTTTTCTCCTTTAAAAATCCCTCTTTATATTGATTTTTGGGTTAGCTAAAAGGTCATCCAATAGAATGGATAATTTACATTCTTATATAGCCCTTAGTAATGATACTTTATGTACAGTACCATTTACAGGTATTAGAACTTTCATGATTTACTGGAATGTGTAAAAAAAAATTAAGGGTCTATAGATATGACTTTACTTGATCATAGAGAATAAAAATTTAACACACACACACACACACACACGCACCATTAGTAGTTTTCGATCCATGGAACTATAGTTAAAGCAATGTATTCTCAAGGTACCTACATTTAAAAGCTTTTGTCAGGCTGGGTAGAAGCTAGAAAATCTTAAGACTTGACACTTTTAGGGTTATAAATGGGGCAATATAAAAAGCTAGGGATCAAAAGGAAGAAAATGCCGGATTTCTGTTCTCGCGACTAAAATGCTCAGGGGTCACTCCAGTCAAACTGGGCTGCACAAAATAACCACACAAGAGACACAAATACCTTTTTCTTTGGGGTCGCTGTGACGGCTCCTCTGACCTTAAGGGTCCGCAGAAAGAGAGAGAGCATGCGCTGACCCCTTTTATTGAGGAGAAGCTATTCAAATGAGGCAAGGGGACAGGTTTCAGGGGGCTGAGTATCTTCATGAAGTCCACTGTCAGCAGGTTGACTGACACCTGGGTAGGCCACACCCAAGGACACAGTAAGAGAAGGGGACACACACAAGGCACTTCCATGGAAGATTCTATCCTAAACAGAGCAAGGGGTTAGATTACGAAGGAAGAGGTGAGCATAGCTCCACCCATGGGGCTGTAGCAAGACACACCCATGCAGGAGACACCGACACTCACACCCAAGAAGGGTGCCACATTTCTGCGACTGAGCGCCTCAGCACCCAGCTGGGGAGTGTAACTCAGTCATGTGTAAGGTTGACCTCCCACAAGAAAAGGTGTAATTATTTATATTTTAATAATCTTTCAAATATAATGATTGTTAGCTTCCCAAAAGATTTATAATTAAAGATTTGGCGATGCTTCTTACATTATGAATTTTCTAATGAGATTCTAATGTACCTTTGACAGTTCTAGCAGAACAAGATAGTGCTGCTGCTCAACAGTACATCAGACAAGGCAGTCCCACAGCACTAAGAGCTGAATTGTGGGCCCTCATTTTGAATATTTCCAGTCAACCTGAGGTAAGATGAAAAAATGACGAGTCACATTTGAGCTGTTAATGTTTATTTTTCAAAAATCAGTAATTCAAAATGGAAACTTTTGTTTCTTAGTCTGTTATTTACCCCCCCCCCGCCCCCGATTTTCAAAATCACTGTAGTTTTAGGTTCTAAGACAAAACTTAACATGTTACTTAATCAGTGTTCTTAACATAGGCGGTTTTGTTATGTGATCCTATATATTTCCAACAAAACCATAAGTAACATTTTGAGAAGTGGAATCTGATAATTTAGATAAATAAAGGTGTGTGATAGAATGGAAATGTTAGAATAGGAAGAAATAAAGAAGGGCAACTCAGTATTAAAACTAAATGAATGATTTGTTCTTATATTTACCTTAAATACGTACTATTCTCATGGTTATAAAATTTGACAGATTATTTAGGCATATTATTTTTCCAAATCTGAGAACATTTTATTTTATGAAGTATGATGAATATGAAGGGAATTCACCAACAGAAAGGTATTCAATTTAATAAAGGAAAATTTTATAAGACATTGATTCTTCCTGAAGTACTCTTAGTGGATATATGTATAACGGTCTAGCTAGCTATACTAAACATGTCTATCTAGCTTACTAAACATATATCATTGAGGAAGTTACTTAAGTTTCTTCAAGCCCATACTTACATATATATCACAGAATAATCGTGTCAGGTATACAAAATAATGTATGTGAGTCTTTTATCACAGTGCCCAGCATGTAAATAGTCACCACTAATGGTATTAATAATTACATATTACATTTAATTATGTTAAAATTAATTATAATTAGTAATTATGCAGACTTTAAGAAAATAAAACATTAATATATATTATAAAAGATATACTTTTGCCATTGCAAATTTTGAATTCATGTGTATATTTATTTATGTATGTGTATATTTTTAAAATCTCTTATGAACAGTGCTGTCAAAAATTATGTTTCCTTTTTAAAAGTATAACACTAGTGATTTATTTTTTTATTTTTTTTTGTTTTAATTAGTTATACATGATAGTAAAATACATTTATGAACTTTGATATACATAGATGGGATATAATTTCTCATTTTTCTGAGTGTACATATGCAGAATCATATTGGTCATGTAGTCACATATATACATACAGTAATAATTCTGTTTCATTCTACTATCTTTCCTACCTTCCATCCACTCCCTTTCCTTCCCATCACTTCCCTCTACCTAGCCTAAGGTAACACTATTCTTCACTGGTGCCCCCTGCCTTATTGTGAATTAGCATCCGCATATTAGAGAAAACATCAGGCCTTTGGTATTGTGGGATTGGCTTATTTCATTTAGCATGATATTCTCTAGCTTCAACCATTTACTGGAAAATGCCATAATTTTACTCTTCTTTAAAGTTGAGTATATTCCATTGAGTATATATACCACATTTTCTTTATCCATTCATCTATTAAGGGACACCTATGTTGGTTTCCTGGTCTAGCTATTGTGAATTGAGCTGCTATAAACATTGATGTGGCTATGTCACTGTAGTATGCTGATTTTAAGTCCTTTGGGTATAATCCAAGGAGTGGGATAGCTGGGTCAAATGGTGGTTCCATTCCCAGTTTTCTGAGGAATCTCCATACTGCTTTCCGTAGTGGTTGCACCAATTTGCAGTCCCACCAGCAATGTATGAGTGTACGTACCTTTTTCACCACATCCTCACCAACATTTATTGTTGCCTCTATTCTTGATGATTGCCATTCTGACTGGAGTGAAATGGAATCTTAGAGTAGTTTTGATTTGCATTTCTCTAATTGCTAGAGATGTTGAACACTTTTTTATGTATTTGTTGATCAATTGTATTTCTTCTTCTGTGAAGTGTCTGTTCAGTTCCTTAGCCGATTTATTGATTAGGTTATTTCTTTCTTTTTCTTTTTTTTTTGGTATTAAGTTTTTTGAGTTCTTTATACATCCTAGAGATTAAAGCTTTATCGGAGGTTTATGTCATAAAGATTTTCTCCCAATCTGTAGGCTCTCCCCTCACTTTATTGTTTCCTTTGCTGAGAAGAAGCTTTTTAATTTGAATCCATCCCTTTTATTCTTGATTTTACTTCTTGCACTTTGGGAGTCTTGTTAAGGAAGTCAGATCCTAGGCTGACATGGTGAATATTTGGGCCTATTTTTTCTTCTATTAGCTGCAGGGTCTCTGTTCTAGTGCATAAGTCTTTGATCCACTTTGAGTTGATTTATGTGCAGGGTGAGAGATAGAGGTTTAATTTCATTTTGCCACATATGGATTTCCAGTTTTGCCAGCACCATTTGTTGAAAAGGCTATCTTTTCTCCAGTGAATGTTTTTGGCACCTTTGTTTACTATGACATAACCATATTTATGTAGGTTTGTCTCTGTGTCCTCTATTCTGTATCATTGGTCTACAAGTCTATTTTGGTGCCAATACCATGCCTTTTTTATTACTGTAGCTGTGTAGTGTAGTTTAAGGTCTGGTATTGTGATGCCTCCAGCTTCACTTTTCTTGCTAATGATTGCTTTAGCTATTCTAGGTCTCTTATTTTTTCCAAATAAATTTTTTGATTGCTTTTTCTACTTCTATGAAGAATGTCATTGAGATTTTAATAGGAATAGCATTAAATCTGTATAATGCTTTTGGTAGTATGGCCATTTTGACAATATTAATTCTGCCTATCCAGGAGCATAGGAGAGCTTTCCATCTTCTATTAAATTTCTTTCTTTAGTGTTGTGTAGTTTTCATTATAGAGGTCTTTTGTCTCTTTTGTTAGATTGATTTCCCAGGGTTTTGTTTGTTTGTTTGTTTTTGTTTTTGTTTTTGTTTTTGGGGCTATTGTGAATGGAATAGTTTTCCTAATTTCTCTTTCAGTAGATTCATCGCTGATGTGTAGGAATGTGTTTGATTTGTGGGTGTTGATTTTATATCCTGATTTATTTAAGAGAAGTTTTAGACCAAATGATATTGCTGGATATTCTCTGATGCTAAATTTTGGACTACTTTGTTTTTCAGTGTGTGCTTTTCATATTCATAATTTGTTACTCCTATTATATGCATTTCTAGAGCTTATACCAAATACTCTTTAAAATGTCCTGTTTTTACTGGTAATCATGGAATTGTATAAATACTTATGTATTTTAGAGTATAAATTAAAATATTAATATAAAGTTTGTCCCTTATCAACTATATGTTATAATATATTACAGTAAAACCATATGTTATAATTTTGACTCTCCCATCCATGTTTTTCTCTCATTACACTAAAAACTGCTGAGACTAAACAGTGTAGAGTGAGAAGTAGGAGGACTAGTTTAATCACAAGGTAACACATTTAGCTTGGCCAAATCTTATTTTTTTTAACTGTACAAATAAGAGAAGCATACTAGATATCTGTATTTCCTAACTCCTTTCTAGTTTCAGATTCTCCTGAATTTTTCCTCTAGAATTGAAGATATATTTTGTCAATATCACTATTATATGTCTCATGTTGCAGGCATTAATTTATTCACAGCATTTTATAGTGCCTTGTCTTCCAGGAAACCTTTCCTAATTCATATGGGTGAGTAGGGGTCCTGGTAGGAATACAGATGATAACTGCATGTCTTCGTGCTGCTCTGGGGCAGCAAATTGCCATATAACTGGTTTAACAGATATTTTTAGATCTTCAAAAATTATAATTGGGTGGAAAAAACATTTTTCCCTTAATTCAATTTACTATTTATATCCGTTTGTTAGGAAACTCAAAATTTTAAATCCACATAATAATTTTATTTTGCATAAACATTGAAACTATAAGGTATACAATTCTGCCCATGTATTGATAAAATATATTAGATAATGGTTGATTCTAGTAAACAGTAGCATAACTCAAATTCTGTGAACTCTATCTGAACTTATGTCTAAATCACTTGATAACCAAGGTTTAAGTTTAACCTAAATTTCTCTGAGATCAGGAAACTCATCTCTGAATTACTATTATATCTCTATGTTCTAACCTGGAATATTAAACATCTGATAATTTTTAAATGAAATATACTAAAATTTTACATTTTACTTAGGTATATGATGTGATATACAAAAAATAACAAAACATAAAATATTTACTTGTCAAATATCTATATACGTAATTAGACAATATAATTTACATATGTAAATTTAGCATCATATGTAATTGTGTAATTCTTATGTCTATAGTATCTTTGTTGCAATGTCAATTATCAATAAGTTCTTTTAATTCACTTTGTATTTTAATAGGTAATAAAGTCAGTGTAAAGGGATATGTTGGAAAAAGCCAGTATATTCTAAGTTATTGTTAAATTGTGTGAAACAATATATAGAAATTATAAACTTCAGAAATGGAGTACTTTTCATTATATCATCTGTAAATTTGAAATTTTTATTGACAGATGAGAATTGTTGACCAACATGGTACAGTTTTCATTCAGTTAGTCAGTATTTCATATGTAATGCTCTGCTATTAAAATATTTTAATATTCATCTGAATCAGTATTTGTACATTAATTTATTAGAATACTGTAGAATTATATTTATGGGCTAGTTAGCTATTTGGAACAATAAGAACCAATAAAAATTTTCGGGCTGGGGCTGTAGCTCAGTGGTAGAGTGCTTACCTAGCATGCATGAGGCTCTGGGCTCAATCCCTGGTACCACATAAAAATAAACAAATAAAATAAAGTTATTGTGTCCATCTACAACTATAAAAATATTTTTAAAAAAACAAGAACCAATAAAAATTTTCTTCAGAGTTAAAAACATTTCATTCACAGCATTTTGAAGATGTATTTTTTTGTGGAAGCATGTGATACTAAAATTAGTATTTTAGTAATTACTTTAAAAAATATTTAGTAGTTCTCTAGCATTGATTACAAAGGGAATACTATTTATTTATAATAGAAAGTATTACAAATGCAATTTCAAATAAATTTAGCAACTAAAATTAAGTTCTCTGAGTACTTATAATTCATGGGTTATAATGCAGATATGAATACATATTCCATATATATTACCTAAAGAAATATTTCCTTAAATTGATATTCTTTGTTTATGTCAGTAAAAATGTTAAAGCAAATTTCAAGTTAAAATAAATTTTCACCAAAATTGTTCTAAAGCAGTGTTTTTTCAAATGTCTGTAAGACCTGTTAATTCTCAGTGCTTTATGTGGGAGATACAAAGGTCCTTGAATAAAATGCAAAATCATTTAATAAAAATATGTTAATAAGAATTCTCAAGGGTAATCCCCTTCAACACAAAGGTCATTTGTTTGACCAACCATACAGCTTAGAGAACCACTGAGAAAAAAGGGAGACTGGACTGGCCAGTTTGGATCAACTGAATCAACACTGAGAGTGTTGAATGATGGGTGTCACAGCCAGTAGGCCTTTACCCCTCAGACATCCATGTATTAAAGGGGAAAAAATGTCAGAATTTATCATACGGCCTTGATTAAATTCAACAGCCATTTCTAATCAAATCTTTAAAGTAAATGGAATTATTGAAACATAGTAAGACTAGTTCTCAAAACACAATAAGTACACAATAAGTAACAGAAATGCCAAAGTTCTTTTCATTAGAATTAGGAAAAAAGTAGTAATACTATCATTATTATTATTCATCATAGTTTTTTGAGGTCCTAGCTAATGCTATAAGATATGGAAATGAATTGGTTTATGTTTGGGGACAAAAAGAAACATAGTTATCTTCTTTGTAGATGATTGATTGTCTACCCAGAAAATCCAAGAGATCAAAAAATTACTGTGATTAGTAAGAGCTTATGAGATATATATACACACACACACACACACACACATACATATATATAATAGTGAATTTTACCTTCACGTCTCTCTATATAGCATCAACTAACTAACTATAAATAAATAGAAGGAATGCCAATGGCATAGAGAAAGGGGAACAGGGAAGTACTGGAAGCTAAAATGGAGCAAGTTCTATTCCATGCATGTATAATTATGTCAAAATGAACACCAATATTACCTATACTGATAGTATACTAATAAAAACATGTAAACAAGACATTTTGGTAAGACAAATGGATGTATGAAAAATATACAGAAATCAGTATTTCCAGAAAGTTAGAGTAAGATATCATCCTGTAATAAATATTCCTCTTTGTCCCAGGTGATCCTGTCCCACAACTCTTACTTGTTTAGGAAAATATCTCTGGAAAGAATCACACAGAGCAGTGTATATGATAAAGCCAAGCAGTGGGCATGGGTGGAGACCAGGTCTGTGAGATGAATGGTGGCACTCAGAAGAATGTAGGGATCTGCTAAAGCAGTGAGACAATATTGCTACGTCCCTTTAAGACAGCTACTACCCATTTGATCCTGACCTTTGTCCTTAATATTCTGATCAACTTTTTTTTCTGATCAAGTATTAACCTGATGCTTAACTTTATTACAGTTTCAAGCCCTTCTCCCGCTTTACCTTTCTCCCTCATTCCCTTTCCTTTCCTTCTTAGTCCTTTCCTTTTAATTTTCCTCTTCTTCCTTCTATTTCTTATTCTCTATTAAATAAACATTAGCCTATCTCATCATGATACAGAGTCAGATCTTAAAGTATTATGAGACCGTATTCTAATATAAAATGCTGATTTATTTTTATACCATATGATTGTTTTTACTACTAGTAGTGACTTATTATGTTTGAACTTACTATTTCGTAATAATTTGCATATTAGGCAGTATGGATTAATCAAATCTCATAGTTTTGTGGCCTTAGTTCTGAAATGTTAGTGGAAATAGTAATCACTGATCTATTTCATTTTATTGAAATTAAATAAAATTCAATCCCATTTTATTGGGATTAGATGAGTTAATTCATGTTTAATTGTTACAATGGTGCCTTGTATTTAGAAGCTACTTAATAAATACTATATTTGCTATTAAAATTAAATGAAAATCAATTTAGCAAATAATGAGTGAATACCCACAAAGTGCCAGATGTTATCATGAGTAAAGGAACAGGCATGTTTGTTGAACATCTTATATTGGTCAGGCTTGGGGGATGTAGTAATGAATAGAACAGAGTTCCTATTTTCTTAGTATTTATGATATTATTAAGATTGTTACTTATTAAAGTTATAGAGACTGGCTTTATAAATGTGACTGACCTTTAATATTTTGACCTGTTTTACATTTAGGACATCTTGTATTATGAGCAACTTAAGATGAATGTGATACAACATGACCTTTTGGTGGACAGTCTAATATATAAAGTAAGTAAAAATATGTATAGTTTTTTTCCATTTCATTATCATTAAAAATTAAGAGTTTTTCATATGAATGGCAGGTACTAGGTGCAATGATATATGTTAAACTTGAAAAATAATTTTTAGTGCCAGGAACCTGTAATCACAGCTACTCAGGAGGCTGAGGCAGGAGGATTGCAAGTGCTAGGTGAGCCTGGGCAATTTAGTGAGACCTTGTCTCAAATAAATAGATAAATAATAATTTTAAGTTATCATTCTACCTATAAAATTAAGGTTGGCCTTCAAACTTAAAGTCTGAATTCAGTGTTTTCTTTTCATTTCCCTATGAATCTGTCCTCGTGATCCTTTCCTGGGCCTCCTCTTTTTTCATTAAGAAAATCAGATTTAAAAATTTAAGTTTTCTACACAAACAAAATACACAAGCAACTGAAAAGAAAAACAGAGTATAATAATTTCATCATTTTTATCTCATGATTCTTTAGGGCCTACTTGTATGTCTCTTTGAACTGAAGTCTTTTTAAATTTGTTTTAGTTTCTAAATATATGGCCATATATATTTCAAGTTTTAGGGTAGGAATACTTTGAATGTTTGTCTTCAAGCATCTGTTAATCAACTTGTTGAGTCAAGTTGTAGATGCTTAACGCATAACATAGGATATGACTACTTCCGGATTAGTAATTTTACTATTTAAGAGACTTGGATTTTAAATTCATAATTTAAAATGTAAAGGAGATTCTTACTGCAGTTCTCATAAATGGGGAAGAAAAGATAACACGTTGAAGACCTTGAAATGTGTCTGAGTAGAACATGGCCAAGGGCAATAATAACAACTGTGACTGTATGACTGCTTACTATTTGCCATATAGTGTACCAAACTTTTACCTAGACTATCATTTAATCCTGGCAACTACCATAAGAATAATAGGCACCAGCGTTTAGGCTGTCAGTGTTTTCCTTGGAGGTGAGGAGGACTCCCATTCTGCAGTAATATGTCTTAAAAATCACAGAGTTTTAGGTGAAAATATAGTACACCATGCAAAACTTTTGCAGCTTTGTAATCAGAGTACTAATAAAAACAAACACTTAGGCAAAAGCTATTTAAAAACACAAAATAATAATAAAACAACTGCTAAAAGTAATAAACCAAAAATAATAAAATAATGCAAATGGAAGTGGTGCACTGAATCCCTGGGGCTGCTGATAAAGTGGTTATGAGAAGTTCAGCAACTGAAAAATATACCAGGCTGGAGGTGCCTCTCTGAAGAGGGAGCCCCAGTGCAAATGTATATTTTATTTTTTAAAAAGAAGCTATGAAGGCCTATGCATGTAGCAGCTGCATTTTTAAAACTTATTAAAGCTTTATTACACTCCCTATAACAAAGACAAAGTTTTAAATTTAACTGAAAATAAAGTGGTAAGAGGAATGAATGGGACAAGGCAATTCTAAATACAAAATATCATCATTCTCTCAGTACACTAAGTTATTTTATTTTTAAAAAATATTTTTAAATTGTTGATGGACCTTTATTTTATTTGCTTATTTATATGTGGTGCTAGGAATCGAACCCAGTGCCTCACACATATGAGGCAAAGTGCTCTACCGCTGAGCCACAACTCCAGCCCCACTACACTAAGTTATTAAATGGTTCTGCCTTAATTGCTTTCTGTTTTCCCACAAAGTTGCCTTGTGTCCATACGTACAGTTTTCTAAAAGTTACTATGACCTGACAATTTGTACTAGGGTTTCTTAACTTTCCTTCAGTATCATATCCCCGAGGGAAAAAAATTATTTCTCTCTAATAAGAAAAATTAAATACTAGAGAGTCAGATTTTGTTGGCTAGGGATGAGTTTGGGAGAATCACATTACCATTAAAACATGCAAAGATTTTTGGTCCTCAAGAACCAGTTAACTCAGTAAGAGGCAGTATCAGCAGTGGTGCAGATGTGCAGTCTCTACCATTGCCTATATTGTCTTCCGACATAGAAGACCCACCCCATTCTTTCCCTTTGTTCTTTGGCTTTAAGTTTTTCCAGACTTGGTACACATTTACTACCTCCACAGTCACCCATGACTCATTTCATCCCTACCAATTGCTGATGTGCTCACCAGCCCAGTTTCATCTATATTATAATGGACTTCTGCAATATTTCTTTGTACTTCTTTCCATATTTTTGCTATGTATATTTTCTTGTCAGCAAGAATGTAGACTTTTAGGAGCGAAATATTGTCTTTTTTATTTCTTTGTGTTTTGATGTTTGTGTTCATCCCAACCAATCAATCAATACTTGTTGAATTGATTATATATTACTTAGGTCCAAAAGTATGGTGTGCTTTATATCTGGGGTTTTTTGATACAAGTTCGGGATCTGTATTTAAATATACGTACTGATGAAAAAATGAAAATTACTATAATTATAGGGGATTTGGGTTAATTTTTAAAATAGATTTCTGGGGGCCTTCTCTGTTTCTCATATTGTTCTGGGCATTTATCCATACTTTCTGAAGTAGCTAATGATGTCCCATGTACAGATATGAAGACCTAGGCTTGGAGTCCCTGACCAAAGTCATACAGCTAGAAGTAGTTGAACTGGATTTCAAATCTTTGTCAGATCTGTTGGAATATCCATTTTTTTTAATGCATTACAATCCTTATTACACATATAGAGCACAATTTTTCATATCTCTCTATATAAAGAATATCCATGTTCTTATACAAAGCAGCAGGTTCCAACTCACTGTACAAAATGTTCAGAGATATCTCGGGGGAAGTGGAGATGTTTTGGTTTACTTTTCTGGGCTTTTGTTTATTTGTTATTGGGGAAGGATACCTGCTGCAACATGTAATTTCTGTTAATTTTTATTTATTTGTCATTTATTCTTCAAATATGTATTGGGTACTACTATGTGGAAGGTACTGTGGTGATGCTAAGTATATAAAAATCAAGGAGAGCAGAAATTTATAAAGTGGTCTCAGGTCAGGAAGTGAGAATAGAGTTATATTTAAAGGAAGGAACTAATACTTGACTCAGAAGAAGTCAGTGACTAGCTCTTAGAAGATGAGTTTATGAAAAGTCAATATTAGGTTCATAGGGACAAATGGTGATTGGCAAATGAATATTTACAAAGGCCAGAAAATATTTGGTATTTTGAGGGAATGGCAAGTATGTATATTTGAATTATGAGATTAAAGCAGAAATTTGGGACCAGTTAATTTTGGTTGCTTCTAGATGCTATGATTGTATCTACTTTTCAAGTTTTATGACACCTAAATATTAAAGGGATATAAAATTGAAATAAATAATAAAGTTACTAATTGAACCTTAAAAAATGTAAGGAAGTAGTGATCAAATAATGTATCATATATCTTAGTCAAGTAAATATGTAACAGTGATAAAATCTAATTGAGAAGTTTATAATCTTACATAAAGGAATAGATTCATTGCATCATTGTTTCTAAATAATTTCTAAATAATTGTGCTTTAGGACTATAGACATTCATCTGGGTTCTTTTCAGAAAGCAGTCTTTATTTTAGTCAGCCTTTTTGCTGCTATGACCAAAAGACCTAACAAGAACAATTAGAGGAGGAAAAGTTTATTTGGGGCTCATAGTTTTGAAGGTCTGAGTCCATACATGGCTGACTCCATTCTTTGGGGCCCAAGGTAAAGCAGAACATCATGGTAGAAAAGTGTGGGGGAGGTATGTGGCTTAGGATATGATGATCAGGAAGCAGAGAGAGAGCTCTCCTCACCACAACAAAATATAAACTTCAAAGGCAAGTCCCCAATGACCTGCTCCTCTAGTCACACCCCACCTGCTTTCAGTTACCTGAAGGGGATTAATTCATTGATTGAGTTAAGACTCTCATAAATCAATCATGTCACCTCTAAACCTTCTTACATTGTCTCATACATGAACTTTTGGGGTCCGTGTAATGTCTAAACAATAACATATTCTTTACTTTTTATCATAGGATGTAAAGTTGACAGCAAGCAATGATGATTATTATTTTGTATTTGAAGATTATTTATATCAGGTAAGTTTAAAATCTTAAATATGTAATTCTTTGTTTTAGGTTTTCTGAATCATTATACTTTAAGAGTTATCTCTATTGTTAACTAAATCCTTCTAAAATCAAAATCATGTTTATCATATTACATGTTCTAAAGTTGAGATAAAATTAATTTTTGCCCTTACAGTGGAATGGGGTGGGAGAATAAAAGTTCCTCAATGAATTTTTAGACTGTTCCTTTTAGTCACATACACTACAATCAGAGGTAAGTTTTCTATCTTTGTTGTTGACAGCAATTTTTAAATTGTATTCATATTTAATCCATCCAAATAAGTTTAGAGAAAGTATTTACATGATACTTTTTATTAAAAATATTGAGTAAATATTTTGAAATCAATGTGTAGTGTCATGATTATTCTTTGGCAATTTCATATGCTGATACTGTGGATTTGGATCCTTCCCTGGGTCTTTTTCATATCTACTAAGATAAAATAATTTATCATAAGTAGGAAATAAGTAATTCACATAGAATTACCTAGATAATGTTCTTTTTAGATAAAGATTACACATACATATTGATTTTGAATGAATGACAATATAAATGTCATCAAGGAAATGTATAGATTCCATATAATAATTTCTTCTTGATTAAGCGTAAATCAGTCCCAGCTGTTTGGATGAACAAGTGTTTTCTTTGATAATGGTGTTGGTGGTTTATATATATTTTAAAGGAAGGATAAAGTTAAATAAGAATCTCTCAAACAGGCTTAATTAATCATACATTCTAAGAGCTTAAGTGTAAGACTTTATAAAATTAAATTTTGAAATAACTATAGAAACAATTTCAAGATTTTGTAATTTCAAATGTAAAAAAAATAGTAAAGATTTAAAATTCTATTCTTTAATATAAAATTGGATATTAATTAAGAGTTGGGAAATCTAAAAATAAAAATTGGAAAGTTTACTTGCTTATATAGCTAATATGTAGCACTGTGTCTAGTTCTTGGTACCCAGTAAATTTTTGAATGTCTAAAGTTAGCATCATTTATATAATACTACTAGTTTATTGATAGCTCTGTTCTTTGGAAATGTTGAATAGAAATTATCAGTTCTGCAGTGGTGGCATGAGTAGATCCACAGAACTATCCCTAGTAGACAAAACATAGCTAGTGAAAACTATTTAAGAAGAAAAATAAAAGTCTCTGGAAACTGTCCCAAGATTATACAACAAGTCAGTAAGAAGCGTTTATTCAAAAAAAGCTACTACATTCTAGTGAAAACCACTTGTGGCACATGAGACCTACTTTGGCCTCCCCTCACCCTCTGATCAAAATGACAGCTTCAGTTCTGAGTATGGCCAAAAAGATTGGGCTTCCCACTCCCTCCAGTTCCTAGTCAAGAGCTACAGTATCTCCACATGAGTGGCAGATAGCCACTCTTCCCCCTCAGTTCTGTGTTAACAGATGGTTGAATCCAGAAGAAGTGCTACCTAGAAGTTGGGGGCTCCCTTCCCACAGGGCAGAGATCTCCTCAAGAGCTCTACCTCCTCTTAGCAGGCCAAGACTACTAAGAGCTTGAATGCCCATCCCACCTTACCTGTAGAGTGGAGGTTCTATGGGAGAGGTGAGCGGAGAAGACCAGAGGTTGTTTCCTTAACCAGTGTCTGTTCTCAGAAAGTAGAAGTGTCATGCCAAGAGAAGTCGGTCAATGTCCCCATCCCAGCTCTAGAGCAATGACTCCGAGATTTTGTTTGGAGGGGAAAAGGGAGCCTTGACAACAGGACCTTTGAGACTCTCCTCAAAGAAATGAGTTTATACGGAGTGTGATAAAGTTCCAACCCAGTGAGTCTAAAATACTAGAGATTTTAATGATAGGCAATTAATAGGAGGCTCTTAACTCCAAGAGAGTGTCAACTAAACCATAAGTAGCTAGTGTACCAAAGAGAACTAGAGAGACAGTTACAACAAGTCCCAGTGGGATAGGAACAAACCTTAAAGACAAGTTTCAAAAATGACTTCTGCAAAGGGGTTCAAACTTAATTGAATCAGACTGTGATTACAGTTTCTACCTGAGGACATGGTTGCAAACAGTAAAATAAACAGCTTGCGATTAGTGAAACAGAATATCTGTGATACCAACAGAGACATAATGCTTAACTGAGATTAGAGGAAGAGATAGTCAAAAATCCCTGCTAAAATCAGTATCATTGAAGAGTGAGTATGTCCAAATTTATACCCTCTGAGGTACATCAGAGCCTTCATACTGTATGAGAACTAGACTTGAATAACATATTCCAACCAAGTCACTAAAGAAACAAGTAAATAACAATAACCACAATGCCTGGCTGCCTACAAAAGGGCTTCAATGTTAGAATTAATAGAAACTTTAAGGCAGCCATTGTAAGTATATTTAAAAATACTAAAGGAAACCATGATTAAAGAAGTTAAAAAAAAGTGTGATAGTATCAAAATAAAATAATGTTCATACTTTAAAGGAAATAAAATAGTTTATTCTGGCCAGGCATGGTGGCACACACCTGTGATCCCTGCGACTGAACAAGCTGAGGGAGGAAGATTGCAAGTTCATGGCCAGCTTAGGCAACTTAGTGAGACCTTGTCTCAAAAATAAAAAAGGACTGGTGGGTAACACCCCTGGGTTAAATCCCCAGTACCTGCCCCCCCACACAATTAAAAGTAGTTTATTCTGAGCCAAATATAAGTGATCATGGCCCAGAAATATAGACTTCAGTTACCCTGAATAACATGTATTACCACAAAAGAGGTTACATAAACTCTTATAGTCACAGAACAAAAGAAAGTCGTAGGTCAAAATATATACCAGTTACACTGGTGGGAGCATCAGGCAGGTGGATTATAATAAGGGAGGGGGTATCTCTTGCATGAATTTAGATGTTGTCTTATGGTATTCTTAGCTTTAGGATGGTGGAAACTAGAGGTAGGCTAAGTTGAGTGACACATTCCAAGTAGTTTACATAATAATCATGAGAATGTTAGGCCAGATACAAAAGTTAAGGTAAATGGCTATTAATGGGCCCAATATATAGCCCAAGATAATTTTGGCTCTGAACCTACAAGATTCTACCTCTCCAAAATTATAAGTTCTAGTCATCCTAGATAAAGCATTCTTCAGGATTTTTACTATAGGTACAGCTTCTTCAGAGAACTATTTACAATGGCATTGTCTCATCAAATCAAGAAAAGCAATAAAAAGATAGAAATTGTAAAAGATTGCTGAACATAGTGGTGCATGCCTGTAATCCAGGTAGTTTAGAGGCTGAGGCCAGGGAGTTACAAGTTTGAGGCGAGCTGTGGCAATTTAGAGCCTGTTTCAAAATTAAAAAAATAAAACGGCCTGGGGGTTTCTCTCAGAGGTAAAGGGCTCCTGGTTTCCATCCCCAGTACTGCTGAAAAAGGAAGAATTTAAATGTAAAAGAGTACCAAATGGAAAATCTGGAATTTAAAAATATAACTGAAATGAAAGATTTGCCAAAAGAACCAGTGAACAAGGAAGATGGTAAATGTACAAAGTCTCAGAAAAATTAAGGGTCTGATTATGCTCATCAACATATTTATGAAAGGAATACAAGTAAGAGAAAAGGGAAGAAGAAGCAGAATTTGAAGAAATAATGACTGAAAACATCTCAAATTTGATGGAAAACATTAATTTACACATCTAAAGAAACTCAGTGAACAGAAACCCATGCCCAGACATATCATAGACTGTCAAACCCAAAAGCAATGAGAGAATCTCAGGAGCTGAAATAAATATTTAATTTTTTTCCATCTATTTAACTCACATTCTAGTAGTTTTGTCTTCAGACAGACGTCTTTGCGGTCCTGGGCAATTCACCAGACCTTCATGGGCTTTCATATTCTTAATTCAAATGGAGTATGGACTAAACTGTACTTGATATATCAGAATTACCCTAAAAATGCTATTTATCTGATTTAAAACAAGACAAAGCAGTTTGGTTTTTTCCATAAAGATATTGATTACGGATAGTGTTATACTTTTTAAATCCAGGTTTTAAAATTCTGTTGTCTCAAGAGTTAATAGTTGCTGGATTTTACTCATTGACTTTTTTTAATATATATAATTTGTTACACATAAAAATTCTATTGGTTTTCTTCCAAAGATGGAATTATTTTATTGGTATTAATCTACAAGTCTTCTGTTATACTACAACTAAAAAGTAAACTGACCATCTTATTTATCTCTCTTGCCTATTGCTGGCCACCCCACCTTTAATTCGGTCTGCACAATGAAGTCCTAGTGGGCTTTTTAAAACACCAGTAAATTCACGTCACTTGTGTGATTAAAAACAAAAACAAAAACAAAAATCTTTCACGGGATTTTGCCACCCTGCCTCCATCCCACCTCTCTAGCCTTGTTGCTTACTCTCTGCCCTGATGCTGGCTGCTCTAGCCACCCTGATCGTTGACTCATCACGTTATTAAACTCTTTTCTGCTTCAGGGTAATAAGACCTCCAGGTCATCTTATAGGGAAGACTGTCACCCTTCTCTCTTCACCTAATAAACTTCTATTTTCCCTTCAGCTCTCAGGTAAATGCAGTTTACTACATGTACTGCATCTTCCCTGAATAACCACTAACCTCCAACATAAAGACATCTAACATGTGTTTTTCAAAGTACTGTGTAATATATTTTATTTATAGTATTTATTATACCTTACTTGATTATTTTATAATTGTTTCTTTCATATAAATTGTGTGTTTTGGTTCTTATTGTAATTTTAGTGCCTAGCACACTGTAAATAACAAATAAAAATTCTTAAGATGATGTAGTTTTTTTATTGAAAGAATTATTTTTTTCATAACTAAAAAAGTTTCCATTTTTCATATGAAAGCTTAATATTAGTAATTTTTGGCTGACTGAGATTTACTGTTATGTTGATGAGGTCTAGATTTCTCAGTTCTGTTCTAGATGTGATGGATCCGTTTTTATGAACTGATTTCTAGTGAAAATAGGTTAATGTCACAGTT